TCTGTTCTTGTGCCAGTTCCAGGCTGTTTTGATTACAGTGGCTTTGTAGTATAACTTGATATCTGGTATTGTGATCCCTCCAACTTTGTTCTTCTTTGTCAAGATTGCTGTGGCTATTTGGGGTCTTTTTGGGTTTCATATAAATTTTCAAAGTGTGTGTTCTAGATCTGTGAAATATGCTGTTGGTATTTTAATAAGGATTGTGTTGAAATTATAGATTGCTTTGAGTAGTATGGACACATATTAATGATGTTAATTCTTCCATTCCATGAACATAGTATATTTTTCCGTTTGTTTATATCTTTCTCTATTTCTTTTCTCAGTATCCTGTAATTTTCCGAGTAAAGGTCTTTTACATCTTTGGTTAAGTTTATTCCTAGGTATCTTATTTTTTAGTTGCAATGGTAAATGGGATTGTTTTTTCAGGTTCTCTTTCTGAGAGTTCATTGTTGGTGTATAAAAATGCCATCGATTTCTGGGTGTTAATTTTATATCCTGCCACCTTGCTGAATTCATTTATTATATTTAGTAGTTTTTTGGTGGATTCTTTAGGATTTTCTATGCACAATATCTTGTCATCTGCAAATAATGACAGTTTTGTTTCCTCCTTCCCAATTTGGATGCCTTTTATGTTTTCTTCTTGTCTGATTGCTGTGGCTAGGACTTCCAGTACTATGTTGAATAAGAGTGGTGAAAGTGGACACCCCGTCTTGTTACTGTTCTTAGGGGAAATGGTTTTAGTTTTTACCCATTGAGTATGATGTTGGCTATAGGTTTGTCGTATATGGCCTTTATTATGTTGAGTTATGATCCCTCTATTCCCACTTTGCTGAGAGTTTTTATCAAAAATGGGTGTTGGATTTTATCGAATGCGTTTTCTGCATCTATTGATAAGATCATGTGATTTTTGTCTTTCAGTTTGTTTATGTCCTATATCACGTTTATTGATTTGTGAATATTGTATCAGCCTTGCATCCCTGGAATAAATCCCATTTGGTCATGGTGTATGATCCTTTTAATATATTGCTGGATCTGATTTGCTAATATTTTGTTGAAGATTTTAGCATCTTATGTTCATCAGGGATATTCGCCTGTAATTCTCTTTGTAGTGTCTTTATCTGGTTTGGAATTAGGCTAATGCTGGCCTTGTAAAAAGAGTTTGGAAGTGTTCCTTCCTCTTGGATTTTTTGAAATAGTTTGAGGAGGATAGGTGTTAATTCTTCTTTGAATGTTTGGTAAAACTCCTCTGTGAAGCCATCCGGGCCAGGGCTTTTGTGTGCTGGGAACCCTTTGATTAGTGCTTCACCTTCATCAGCAGTTATCAGCCTATTCAGATTTTCTGACTCTTCCTGATTGTATTTTGGAAGGTTGTATTTTTCTAGGAATTTATCCATTTCATCCAGGTTGTCCAGCTTGGTGGCATATAGTTGTTCATAGTATTTTCTTACAATTCTTTGTATTTCTGTTGGGTTAGTTGTTATTTCTCCTCTTTTGTTTCTGATTTTGTTTATTTGAGTCCTCTGTCTTTGTTTCTTGATGAGCCTGGCTAAAGGCTCATCAATCTTGTTTATCTTTTCAGAGGACCAGCACTTGGTTTCATTAATCTTTTGTATTGTTTTTGTAGTTTCTATGTCATTTATTTNTGTCATTTATTTCTGCTCTGATCTTTATTATTTCTTCCCTTCTACTTACTCTGGGCTTTTCTTGTTGTTCTCTTTCTAAGTTTTTAAGTTGTAGGGTTCGAGAGTCTATTAGTAAAGTTTTTCTTGTTTTTGAGGTAGGCTTGTAGTGCTATGAACTTCTCTCTCAGGACTGCTTTCATTGTGTCCCATAGATTTGGAGTTGTTGTGTGTTCATTTTCATTTGTTTCCAGGAAGTTTTTTATTTCTTTCTTGATCTCTTTGGTAACCCATTCATTGCTTAAAAACATGCTTTTCAGCCTCCATTTGTTTAAATGTTTTTTAGTGTTTTTATTTTGGTTGATTTCGAATTTCATGCCATTGTGGTCAGAGAAGATGCTTGATATGATTTCAGTCTTCTCGAACTTGTAGAGACTTGTTTTGTGTCCTAACATGTGGTCTATCTTTGAGAATGTCCTGTGTGCATTTGAGAAGAATGTATATTCTGCAGGTTTGGGGTAGAATATTCTGTAAATGTCAGTTAAATCCATCTGATCCAGTGTGTCATTTAGGTTCACTGTTTCCTTGATTTTTTGTCTGGAAGACCTATCCAATGAATTCAGTGGGGTGTTAAAGTCCCCTAGTATGACTGTATTGCTGTAGATCTCTCCCTTAAAGTCCTCTAGAAGTTTTTTTTATAAATTTTGGCACTCCTATATTGGGTGCATATATGTTTATCAGGGTTATATCCTTCTGTTGGATTGATCCCTTTAGTATTATGTAATGACTTTTCTTGTCTCTCGTTATGGTCTTCATTTTGAAGTCTATTTTGTCTGATATGAATATTGCTACCCCAGCTTTTTTTTCATTTCCATTTGCATGGAAAATTTTTTTCCATTCCTTCACTCTCATCTTGTGTGGGTCTTTTGTTCTGAGGTCTACAATATATGTGGTAGACAGCATATATTTGGTCTTGTTTTCTTATCCATTTAGCCACCCTATATCTATTTATTGGGACATTTAATCCATTTACATTTAAGGTTATTATTGAAAGATACTTACCTACTGCCATTTTATTTCTTTATGCCTATGTTTCTCGTTCTCTCTATTTCCACTTCTAATTACAGCAATTCCTTTAACATTTCCTGTAATGCTGGTTTGATGGTGATAAATTCCTTTAGCCTTTTTTTGTCTGGGAAGCTCCTTATTTCACCATCTATCTTAAATGATAATCTTGCTGGATAGAGTAGTCTTGGTTTCAGATCCTTGTTCTGCATTACCTTTAATACTTCATGCCATTCCCTTCTGGCCTGTAGAGTTTCTGATGAGAAGTTAGCTGACATCCTGTGGAGGCTCCTTGGTAGGTAAAAGATTGCTTTTCTCTAGCTTCCTTTAAGATTATCTGTTTGTCTTAAATTCTTGGGATTTTAATTATGATGTGTCTGGACATGGGCCTCTTTGGATTCTTCTTGCTTGGGACTCTCTGTGCCTCCTGAACTTGTATCACCTTTTCCTTGACTAGGTTAGGGAAGTTTTCTGCCATTATTTCTTCAAACTGGTTCTCTAACCTTTGCTTACTTTTGACCTCCTCTGTCACTCCTATAATGTGAATATTGTTATGTTTCATGCTGTCTCACAGTTCCCTTAGACTGTCCTCCTGGTTCTTAATTGTTTTTTCTTTTTGGGTCTCTGAGTGAGTGATCTTTTCTACCCTGTCTTCTAATTCACTAATCTGATCCTCAGCTTCCTCTAACCTGCTGTTTATTCCTTCCAATGTATCCTTTATTTCTGCTCTGTCATTCTTAATTTCCTTCATAGTTCCCATATCTTTTTTCATGCTGTTGAGCATCCTTACAATCAGTATTCTGAACTCTGTATCTGGTAGATTTCTTATCTTCATTTCATTTAGCTCTTTTTCTAGAGACTTCTCTTGTTCTTTCATTTGGGGCTTGTTTTTTGGTCTTCCCATTTTGATGGCCTTTTTGGGTTTGTTTCTAAGTATTAGGAAGGTCTGTTAGTACTCTCAGTCTTTTTGGAGGGTCCCTGGTGCAAGCCAGTGTCAGATGCAGTTTGTGACTGGCCCTGAGTACTATGTTTGGAGCTATCAACAACTCTTGGCTTGAGGTCTTCTCTGCTGGGATGGGTGCGTTTGGACAGTACCAAGATGCACACCAAAGTCTGCTTTTCCACCGCCTGGGTCCAGAAGCAGATCAGGCAGACTTACACCACTCTAAAGTCTGCCTCTGCCTGCAGACTGATTAATCTGATTCTCTTACTGAGCCTCAGGCTGTAGAAGCTCCTCTGGACAGGGTGAGAGTTCCTGCAGCAGGGTGGGGCAATTGTTTCCCCCCTCAGGCAAAAGCTGAAAACTGTCTGCCTGAGAAAGATACCCTCTACAGTTTGGGGGAATGACTCAGCACAGGAATACAGAGGGGCACTCTCTGATATCTCCAGAGCCCATATCTCCAGACTCTCCCCACACAGCTCCAGTCCACTCCACTCCCCCTCTGCTGGAGCCCAAGGTGAGTGGCTGTACACAAAACTCTGTGCGTTGGCTCTTTAAGAGGGTGCCTGCAGTTCCAGCCGCCTCTCCCTGGCAGACAAACCTGGCTGCTTTTCACAGCCAGATGTTAGGTGGGCACCTTTCTCAGTTCTGTGCTCTGGGCTGGGGAGCCCAGCCTTGCGTTTAGGCCCCAGAGTCCTCAGTGGGAACCCCCACAGCTGAGCTCTCTCTCCGGACCTTCAGCTGCTGCCTGTGGGAGCTCAACCAGCCCTCTCACATCTGTACTTCTTACCAGTCTCTGTACGGTCTCCACTTTTTGTCCTTGGTTATGAGGGTGCTCTCCAGCTCATCTTCAGTTGGTTTTCAGGATGGTTTTTCTGTGTTTTAGTTGTAAATCTAGATTGGTCCCTGGAGAGTGTCAGTGTAGCTTCCAATCAGTCTGCTGCAGTCTTGGATCGGAGCCATGTATTTTTGACTGAATTTCTAATGTTAATATAATAATGGAGGGGGAAGATTTAAAAGTCTTTATTGAAGAAAAAAACGAAAGTCAGAACTTATACAGATGAGAAAGCATAATGATATTGTTAAAAAATAAACATGAAAAAAGACCAACAAAACCTTATTGGTTTGTTTTCAAAAGGTATGTGAAAAAAAATAAGATTTAAAATTAAGAAAATATAACTATAAATGATCTTGAGGATTATTGATTAACTGAGTCTTCATCTAACCCTCATTTGAGTACAGTGCTTCAGAAAATTATTAAAGCTGTTTAGCATGAAAATGCATTTATAAAAATGTAGACTGTGGTATACATAATATTAATACAAGTAGCTTTACAATATATTTGGATACACATGGTATAATTTCTTAACATGTTAATTTACATTGAATTCAGTTAGTTGAGTTGTTTTAGCTTAGGATATAAGTTAATTAAGTTAAATAATTAATTTTTCTTTTTTTGTGATATATTAAAGATGTATATTCCAGTGAGTGTGAAAATACGTCGAGAAAAAAGAAAATGTCAGAAGAATGTGAAGCCAGTACTATGGATTCTCTGGTAGATTTGTCACTTGCTGCTATAGATATTAAAGATGATTGTGAACGTAAGTATTTTTAAAATAAATATATATTTAGAAGCAATGAAATTTTGTGATATATATATTTTTTCTTAATAAATTCATCCGAAGTACTTGTCATGTTCTTGAGTTTGGGTTGTTAATTAATGGTTATCTGTTGATATTCTGTAGTCAAAACTATCACAGATAATATTAAGACACATCTCATAGAATTTTGAGCCAGATCATTCTGTAGTTTCTAAGGAACTTTAGGAAATAATGAGACAGGACCTTTCATGGTTTACAACCTCCTGCTTCAGTTGTTCTGGAGCCAGTGCTAATTTCAGCAGTGCATATTCATCTAACCAATATTTCCTGGCCCTTTGATAAGAGCCAGGCACTTTGCAAGGCATTGGGAGGGTCACCAGGGAACAAGACAGACATAGCCCTGCTCTCAAGGAGTTTAACAGGCTAGTGTTGAGAATAGTTCAACTTCCAATTCATTATTCATGTATTAGATTGATTAGGTCCTGAGAGCTCTGTCCACAGACTTCAGAGAGCCAGTGCTTACGTGATTAAAATACTGCTGGAACTACACAACTGTCTGAATCGGAATTTCCCGGCATTGTAAAAACAGTACTGTACATAATATTTGGGGCTACCCCCACTGAAAATGTGACAGCTTTGCTTGTTATCCAGGTTACTTGTGAAGAGAAAATAAGGAAAAGCACCGGTGCAGTCCACAAATATCCACTGACTGCATGCTCTGGGCTACTCATTGCTGGCAGCCTTACCTAGAACCTTGCTGTGACTTGATATAGTTCTAGCTTGACTGGGGGCCTGTAACTGGAGGCTCCATAAGAAATTATCTAGTTCAGTCTATTCATTTTTGAGAAGAGAAAACAAGACTCAGAGACATTAAGTAAATTATAAGTCACACAATTGAAAGGAACTAGTTATGGACTCTGTGATTTCTGATTCAATGGTCATTTCTTTGATGAACATTCATTGGATGTCTGACAAATGCCGAGTAGTGGCGCTAGATGTTGGGAATATTGAAACACATAATATTGAAATGCGTGACCATCAAGAAGCTCATAGCTTCAGTGGGGAGCCAATACATTAACTGCTCTAATTCCATAAGATGCATGCCGTACAGGATGGCCGGGGAATCCATGGGGAGAGGGTGTGTGTGGGGAGGCGTATAACCTGGATGCGGGGTTTGAAAAGGTGGTCTTGGACGGCTTCCCAGGAGAGGAGGCCTGGCCCATAATATGAACTCTAGGATTCTTGCCTCTGTGCTCTCATGAACTTCACTGATCACCAGGATTGCCTGTGGTGATTCAGAACTACAGATTCCACTTTTCCACTTCCGTGTCAGGTGGAACCTTTTTGTTTTACTTTTTAAACATCCCATGCTATTCTCATGCTCAGCGTGTCACAGAAACCACATAGTTCCACTATCACACTGTCTTCCGATACAGGAAACCTGGTTAATATTTTGGGGGATGTGAGGAGGGGGGATGCTTAGAATGTATGAAATCTCTGGTATCTTATTAGTTTTTCCTGTTCCATAACCCAGGAGGAAAAGGAAGGCAGAAGAGGTGTTTGCTCAGTCAGGGCATGGGTTTCCCATCTTTTCCTTTACAGCTGGTTGTAGGGAACAGCCTTTGTGGTTTTCATGGCTGTCAGAGAAATGTTCATTTGAAGAATTAGATACAATTAGGATTGTATCCAAAAGATACAGTCACTTTTTCCTGATTTCATTACTCTCTCTAATTTGGGTACAAAATAAAGAAGAAAGCTCCTGAATAGTCATACCTTTGTGTCTTGCCCGTGGTGGGCATCTGCCATCCACTCTTCTCCCCTCATCCCTGTTGAAGTCCCTGAATCACTCCCATCCAGGGGCTCATAAGTTAGACTGGAATAAGAGGTGAAACTTGTTCACTGTTCCAGCTATCAGTACATACCTAAGATATATGAAACAAACTGCTTCTACTAGAGATTGAGAGTGGTACGGGCAGAATCCCAGAAAGCAAGTAGTATTTCTGTAGCTACTGTATTCTTATCTCTCTACTGGTGAGGAGAAACGGGCCACTGGGACCAGAAAGAAGGAAGGGACAGCCATTCCTTCATCCGAATAGGGATCTTTCCTCTCGTATATGGTGCACTTCTTACCGAAAAAATGATCTTATCCATGTAAGTTAGGGGCTTGCTCAGGTCACCCCACAGAAGTCCAATTTTTGGCATAGAGTATTATACCACTTTTTGATAGCTCAGATTTTGCGAGTTAAGTCTGTGGGTTAGTCTAGACTCCAAACCACCGTGCATAATATTACCTTTGTGGGAAGATTGATTTCAAATTCCAAGCTCCAACTTACACACAGTCAGTGTGGTATAATGAGAGAAACAGAAAACTTGTGTTTTATGTTTTGATTATTTCATTTTCTACTTGTGTGACCTTGCACACTTAAACTGTGAGCTGGGCTGCTTCAACTGTGAAATGTGGATAATTTCTTCTTTTTTACCTCATATGGGGTTGCTGTACAGACCAAAAGAGGTAATGTGTGGAAGAATGCAATTAAAAATGTAAAATAATATACAAATACTATTTAGTAAATGTTTGAAACACATCCCTTAATTATTTGGGGACAACTTGTTGTCTCATTTTTATAATAGCGTTTATTAAAACACTAAGGAACAAATAGTAAAATTGTTTGCAAACCAGAAACTACCAACTAGTTTTTCTGAAGAGAGATTTTTATAGAAATACCAAAAAAATGGGATTTTTGTTGTCAACCCATAAACCTTAAGATAGATACAGTGTGTGTGTCTAGAACACAGGACAATTAGCTGGTAGCTTGGATGGATTTGGGGCTTTCTCTTACATTTAGTAACATGGAAATTTAATCAGTTGAATGGCTCCATGGCAGACAACAACCTTAACATTCTCAAATAGCTGGTTGTTGCCTTGGGTCTTTCAGTTTCCTCTGGTGGGTGGAAATTGTGAGTTAACTGCCAAGAAATTCTTGCTGATTGAAACCCTGGCAGAGCGATGGGGAAAGTAGTGCTAACAAGAAGAACACCGTGGGAAGGGGAATCCTTGCCAGTAAGAAAACTCCTCCCCAAATGTTTGGTCTGAGTGTCTGGGTTGTCAACTGTGTTATTAGGTGCAGTGTCATTAGGTACCATGCAGTCTAGTTGGCAGAAATTAATCTTTACATTTTTTGCTTTTGTTTTGGAGAAGAGACTATTTTACTAGAAGTATATGTTAGAATATAAAATGTATTAGAATATTGTGTTAGAATTAAATGTAAAATATATTAGATATATTTATTAGGATGTAAATAGATATTAGAAAAAAATATTCAGATGTATATACAAAGAAAATCGTTTAGAAATATGTAAGAAGCCATAAAACCTGCACCATACCTCTGGCTTTACAGGTTGCACATGTTCTGGGAGAAAATGCAGTGTTAGTGAGTTGTTGGCCTGGGCCTGGATGGGTCTGTTCGCTTTACTGAGGGAAGTGTCATTGGTCAATAGGTTAGACACCAGTAGAGCACCCAGAAAACGGGGTTGCTGTAAGACCTGCCTCTGAAAGTTTAATGGGGGTGTGAAAGGGAGAGTCATTTTACTGCTGACAGGACTAGCTTAGTACGCTTCCCATAAAGCATAAATTTGTGGAGGGCTTTAGTTTATTGAACTTCATTCTCTTAAGAGAATCACAGCAGCCTTTAACTATCAAGCCACATTTAATCAAGATTCAAAATAAAATGTTTAAGTGATTTTTTTTGTTTTTGTTTTTAGCAACATGTTTTTCCTCATTGTGGAATTCAGTTCTCCTGATATTGGAATTATTACAATCCTTATTTTACCTTACACAGAATTCTAACCTTGTAGTTACTGGAGATTTCAGAGATGTGGGAAACTATCATTTTATTACTTATTATCTAATACTGTTAAGTTGTATTTTAAAAAATACTTCAACTCTTAAATTTTGTAATATATCAATTGAAACTTACCTTTACTTGAAAAAACTTTTTTTAGAAAAATGCTATATCAAATAAAGATTGAATCTCTCTCCTTGTTAATAGTGATTATCCTGAATCAATTTTTTAAAAAGGTAAATTACGTTCTGTTTCCTCTCAATAATTGATTGGGGAAGCATAGTCCAAATTTTATTATGAAAGGCTTAAGGCAAATATTTGGCCCAGATAATACAAAGGGTTGATACTCCCCTCCCCCCGCTTTTTGTTTGTTTGTGTGTGTTTTTTAAAAAAAACATAGGAAAACAAATAAAAATTAGAAAAGCCTAATAGATACATTAATTCATTCAACACATGATTATCAAATGCCTGCTACGTACCGGGTACTGTTATTGATGCTGGGCAAAGGTTGAAGATAAAATTCAGTTAGTAGACAAATATATGGAGAGTTATTCAACTTTAAAAGTATCAAAGGGTGTGCTTTAAAATATGATTATAACCTACCAGATTGGCAATATCTTTAAAAAATAATATGCAATGATTTTAATGTCATATCTACATTGCTTCTGACATTGCACTTGTTTTAGAATGGAGTTTGTTGAGATCTCTGTCATTGTTCATACATGGGATAGAGCCACTCATGAGATTCCAAATATAAGAACATAGTTTTACTTGGGGAAAAAGTTTTACTCATAAATATATGTGTCACAGTGTCTTTTAAATAGTAAAAGTGTTGGGGAAAAAACAAATGTCCAAGATTATGCAATGGTTGAGTAAACTATGCTTGTGCCTTAAATAACATTATACAATTATATATTATGAAAATAATATTTCTAAAAAGTGTGTTACAGGGAACATTTGCTATATAAAATGCAAAGTGAAAAAATAGGAGGAAAATGTATGTGTTCTTTATAATTGTGTGAACACTCTGTGTGACCTGTCTCCAAAATTCATAGTGGTTGTGTTAAGATAGTAGGTTTATGAGCAAATCTTTTGTTCCTTTCTCTAATCTTCAAATTTTATGAATGTTCTTGATTTTTTTAATGAAACAATACAATT